AGTAGGTGAAGTGTCTTGCCCAAGGACACAACGACCGAGACTGTCCAAGCTGGGGCTCGAACCGGCAACCTTCCGATTACAAAAGGAGTGAACGTGCTCTCCTTTTCATGATACAGAGTCTTAGCAGACCTATACCTCTAAGCATAAAGGAATACATGTTTCAAAGTGCAAATGACAAGCCTAAAATCTCACTCTAACACCATACAAAAATAAAATGCGTTTTGTGTGTGTGTGTGTGTCTTAATGGCATTAGCATTACAAGAGCTCCACTTAGTGGTGAAACAGTAGCATTTCAACAGCTCTTACATGCACCATCACGAATGTCACAAGAATGCATTGGAAAACTCTTCTGCTTCAGCACAGGGTTTTAAATTACAGTTTAACTCTTTCTCATGACCCCAACCATTACCCCATCTCCAGAGTAGCTTGGTCAAAGATGAAACAAAGTTGTACATGAAGCCAGTGTTTGCTTGTTTTTTTTCTGTTATTCTTTTTAAACTAATTTTCAGTCTGGAGTTGGTCAATATTTTCATTGGAAACTCATTAACTGATGGTGCAGTTGCTCATTCCTCAACATAGAATTGGCAGAGAATATAAAGGCAGTGATGACCAGAGCACAAAGCATAGCGGTACCATTATTTTCACACTGAACTGTCTTGATATGATGACAAGAAACTCTGCACAAAGAGACACACAGCCAGAGGTGGAGGAGCGAGGACATTGGGGAAATAAATTGGAATTTCTCCTTGCTGTGGCGGGAAATGTTGTTGGCCTGGGGAACGTGTGGAGGTTTCCATACCTCTGTTACAAAAATGGAGGGGGTAAGCGTTCCTAACACTTATGTTTAATTCATTTAATATATTTATTTTACATTCACTAGCCATAAGATGTGTTAATGCTTGTGTATTTCATCCACATTAAAGTGCTACGCAATAATACACTGCCAGGTGAAAATAAAAAACATTTCATAAGCTTTCCACTTAACACTTATTAAAGTCAAACACACTAAATCTGAATTGTTTAGATGGTGAGGATTCAAAGAAGATGACGTTAACAAGACCTGTTGAGTAAAGAAATTTTAGCCGGTACCCACATTTTAAAAAAACCCTGTAAAATCTTTAATATTTTAGGTTAAGATATGACTTCAGACTTGGTGTAGTCATTCTCTTCTCCATCTTCTCCAAACTCTATTATTGCTCAGTTTACAGAGATTTGCTGAGATGTTACCAGAAGTGTGTCTTTCAG